TATGTCGACGTACTAATTCAGTTTATTTTGGGATAGATGTTGTTCATAACAGGATTTTCTGATCTAGTTGATTGTCGCTTACGGTGTTCTACCAACCTACATGAAGCTGCATAAAATAATGGACACAAGTGCTTTATTTTTCATGTTGTCTCATCATCCAGCCAAATATGGATTCCTAACTCCTCTCTGATATTATCAGAAATCAAATAAGCTGATGTGTTTTCAGACTAGAATTTGTCAATAAAGCTTTGGGGCAGCACTGAGCAATGTCAGCAAAGTCTATTTACGTGTCTGAGGCAATGTAAAGGCTCTATAGATCTTTACATGTCTGTGGTGATGTAAAGGAATGTTAATATTCTATGCATATCTTAAAGTATCTTTTTATAGTACCTAATGACTTGTCTAAATGAGACCGATTGCCTTAAAAGGCAGCTCTGTTCTGCAAAAGGACTGTTAAAATGGGTTCTGAGAGCTACATTCATGTTGTGTGCCAGTAATTTTTATATGAAATGTGTTCAATCTGCAAGTCAAAATTTCTTTCTCACAGTACATCTGGAATTTTAGAATCAAGCTGGGTTCTCTTCCTCTCCTATGTCATCTGCAAGAATAGAAATTGAGCACGCCAGTCGATGCACTCACTCTGACAGTTTTCCTATTGCTTTCGATGGGTTTGCGTAGTTAGAACAGATCTGAACACTTTTGCAGAAAGGACTAGGCTCCAGATTGCCTTCAGTTGTGTTGGCTTTGTTTGGGATAAGGATAACTGAAGTGTAGATTGTATTTGTTATTGGAGTCGACTTTTAGATTATGAATAAAGAAAGGTGACCTATGGAATGTGCTGCTATAATTTTCTTCAATGTAATTCCCCATGGATGCTGTTACTAAAACACTGTGAATAAATGCGTTTGGTGCTCCCAGCTAGTAGAGTCTTTTTATGAAACTTTTAAAAGATGTTATGGCTGATGAATATGTAGAATATATTTTAATTACTTGTTTATTGTTATGAGGGCAAATAGTTTCGACATCAGTGAGTTAGAAAGCAAAGTAACACTTTCTGTGTTCAGTAGTTGAAATCAGAGCAAAAATGCTGCATGAAATCTGTTGAATTTACAGTCCTAGTCATGTCACTTAACAGCATGGGTCTCAGGAGAAGAAAACAACTTATGGATTTGTTCTAAAAGTGTGACCCAGCCCCCACCTCTGTCTACCAGTGTAAAAATAGACAGCTTGGGATCCTCAGCATCACGGAACAGTCTCCTTTACAAATAGACAGGAACTTCAAGAGCTCACATGTTGTCCTGTAAACTTTTGCCTGCTAGTTCTAGGTAGCGATACGAGAAATATGGAGAAAGAAACTAGAAAGTCACAGAACTGCTGTCCAGGAAGGCCTTTAAGGGTAAACAAGCATTAGTATTTTAGGTGTCTACAGCAGCAATAAGTTTTACTTCATCTGTAATAATGTGTAGGAGCATCTGCTCCTGTTAAAATTTATGGAAAATCTCTGTAACTGCAGTAGAATGAACAGGCCGGTGTTTGATACAAAACTGCATCATGTAGTGCACTTCATTTTGAACTCCTGCAGTTCCAGTCACAGAACTACAGTTCACAGAATCACAGAATCACAGAATAATAGGGGTTGGAAGGGACCTCTGTGGGTCATCTAGTCCACCCCCCCTGCCGAAGCAGGGTCACCTACAGCAGGCTGCACAGGACCTTGTCCAGGCGGGTCTTGAATATCTCCAGAGAAGGAGACTCCACAACCTCCCTGGGCAACCTGTTCCAGTGCTCCATCACCCTCAGAGGGAAGAAGTTCTTCCTCATGTTCAGATGGAACTTCCTGTGCCTCAGTTTGTGCCCATTGCCCCTTGTCCTGTCACTGGGCACCACTGAAAAGAGCTTGGCCCCATGTTTGTGCAGTTTTGTATTTGTTTGAAGATGATGTGTGTAATGACTTGAGGGTTTTGGCACTTAATTCCTCCCACAAAAATGCATGGGAGGAATTTTATGTCTAAACCAGAAAGATTTAAAAAATATTACAGTGAAGTAAAACTTCCTACATTTTCCATTTTGATGTTCAGCTGTAGGAGTAGCAAATTCAATTTTAGTTTTAAAGGCTTCAGTCCAATACTGAGTGTGTGCATGTATGTATATATGTATATAATTATCTTTTTTAAGCTAAGAAAAAAAAAAAACAGTTGAGAGTTAGTTTTGTGTTCTGCATAAGGTTGTGTTGAAAACTGTAGTATAGAATTAACTTTTGTTTGGACTCCAGTTAGGTAGTAGGGTCAGACTGGACCAGCTGCAAGTTGAAGACAAGTCTAAATGCTTATAAATGCAATTGGAATCTGGACACCTTAAACATAAGAATTATTCAGACTACTTACTCTGTAGCCCCACCCAAGCCTACAGATACTTTATTTGGGGCCTTTAAGTTGTCACAGTGACTTAAAATTAGTTTTCCTGGAAGCTGAGTGAGAGCAGGTAGGCACCTGTTACTGCCATGGTTTCATCTGGTCATCTTACTTTGGAGTACAGCACTTGTATCTGGAAAAAAAAAAAAAAGCAAGTGGAGGTGACAAAAAGTAGCAGGAGCAGTGAATCACTATGAAAAGTGCATTGTCCAAATATCTGTAAAAGTTCTGTGGTTTGAGGGGAAAAGACATTCCTCACTTAGGCCCATTAGAAAGCTCCTCACAAGATCCTGTCTTCCTCCAACATAGAGGAGAGCCCAACTCCTTCGTATAAGAAATCTTAATCGCTTTGCCAAAGCCAGACTGCTGTGACAGCTGAGGTGCACGACCGGAGTATGTTGCTTAAGTCTGGTCTTTGATTAGACTTAAATCTTCTAGAAAACCCTTAAGAAGTCATACAGAAATGGTATTAGTATGTATCTGATTAAATTAAAATACTAATATCTGAAATCAGGTGTCATAATTAAGGTTTACTTATGGCAAGTAATTGTCCCTTGGACAGGGAACTTGCAGGGCAACTGATCACTAATCAAACAATATGGGAGTTAAGCTAAATATAATCTTGGCTCAGATCCTTTGTGCAATTCTGAACTTAATTCCTTTAATAATTTGAAGCAGAACTTAAACTTGTGTTCCAGTTGTGTTTCAGTTGGTTTCACTTTTTAACAGTCATTTGCTGTATGGATTGCAAGTAGACTGGAGAAGTGTTTAAACAATCTAAAAAAATTGCACTGAAAATGGAAGATAAAAACAGCATTATTATGAATGCTAACTTGATTACTGTGGACTTACATCTGGGGCCAGAATCGGGCATCTGTTTTTGAAGCTGTTGGTAATAGCGAGCTCATATTCCAGAGTGCGTGTATACCAAGTTTATCAGAACAATTGGAATAACTGTGTTTTAGAGAACTGCGTCCAACTATTATTTTAATTTTTGTTGCTGGAAAAATAAAAGGCTGGCAAAGCACACCAAAATAATGAATTAATTGCCTCAGTCCATGACATCAGAGTTCTTTGCTTGCAGTGAGCTCTGATATTAGACAGACAAAGTCTTTCTTTGCCCGTAGTAACTCCAGATTCATCCCATGGTTTATGGTAGAGATTTCAGACCTGAGTGAGAAACAGGATCCAGAAATCTTTGCCCTTAGGGGAAAAGATCCGAGTCTTATATTCTGTGGTCGAATTGCAGTTTCCCTCTGTTGCAGTGGTGTGTGCAAATGCCATAGCTGGTACCCTGTGTTTCGCACGCAAACTGAAGAATAGAAATAGAGCTGCAGATGACCTGCTTAAGTATCTACTTGCAGGCATCGGCCTACGGGACTCCGTGCCATATTGAATGGCATTTTTGCTGCCTATAATATTTCTGCTAGCGATGTAAAATGTGGAAAATAACACGTGATGCTTCCTGGCTACATATTGCTTTAGCTTATTTGATCCTTCCTCAGATTGTGAGGCTATACAGAAGCAATGGTAGGGATGACCACTTAGGATTATTGGGTTTTTCTGTCTTATTAGAAAATACAGTTTCCCGCTCATGTAATACATCTTGGGAAGCAGAAAAAATGGTTTGAAGTTATGAGGTACTAAAACTGATGACAGACGTGGGTAAATACATTATTTGCCTTTTTCCTTCTCTGTGTTGAAAAGAGGGGCCCATTGTATGCAGGCAGACAGTAATTACTCTGGGACTTTCTTTTAGTAACAAAAGAATTTTGGGAAATCTAATTATGGTTCTTAAAACACCATCAGGGCTTAGGCAAAGCTGCTCATGGATTCCAAATGAAGACTTGCCCTCAAAGTGGTGGTAAAGCATGAATCTGTGTAGTATCTGATGTCCATTAACACACCTTTGTGCCTAATTCATTGGGTACACGTGTACTGCCAGTACTTGTGCTCTGTAACTTAAACCATTACCAAAACCATAACCTGTACGAAGAGCTTGATGGATGTATGCTTAAAGGCAATTTGCATTTACTGTGTTTTAATTCTGATTATTGTTTTCTGACAGCAGACTTGATGTGTCAAACTATTTTAGCAGTATTTGTCTCTTTTTTCCTCAATTCTGGCAAATCATTGCTATAAATGAATCACTGCTGGGTCTCACGAAACTACAGTGCATTTTTTAATTCTACTGGGGTTTTATCCTCCAGTATTTGGCTGTGTGTAAACTGAATGTGACATCATTAGAAGCATGGGCTCAGTGATAGCTCAAATCCCAGGAATGTGGAGAAGAATCACAGAATCACAGAATAGTAGGGGTTGGAAGGGACCTCTGTCACCTACAGCAGGCTGCACAGGACCTTGTCCAGGTGGGTCTTGAATATCTCCAGAGAAGGAATGGAAGAATCAATTGGACATGTTAACTGCGAAACAATAGTAATAGTAATAGTGGTAATATTTCTCCCTTTTTACACAGAAGTCTGAAATACTCCAACAAACCATATACTAGAATAGCCTATTATGATGCTGATTTTATTAAGTTTGTCTTATCTTAATTATAATACTTTTAAAATTATTTTCTTTCTGCAGATTAAGGAATGGCTCTGTTTAAACTGCCAGATGCAAAGAGCGTTGGGTGGTGACCTAGCACCAGGTCTCGGTCCCGGCCCACAGCCGCCTCCACCCAAGCCCTCCCCCCAAGCAGAAGACCCCTGTTCCCCCTGCAGCAGCTAAAGCATTGCCCCAGCCACAGCCAGTTCAGAAGAAAGATGCTTCTCCAAAACCTGATCCGTCGCAGCTCCCGGAATTGAAGAAACCCCTGCCACAGAAAAAACAGCCGTCCTTGCCTGGCTCTCCACACATAAAATTGAAACAAGCCGGCGCTGAGCCTCCTGAGATCTCCCAGCATGTGGATCCTACTCCAAGGTCAGACCAGGCCAAGCCAACACAGGCTGAAGACCAGCAGAAGCAGCCCAGGACGCAGCCCCGGCACCAGACACTCTGCCGGCCTCTGCAGCGCTGGGGCCGAAGCAGGACTCGGCAGGTCCCAGGCCTCCGCAGAAGGTGACAGATTCCCCAAAGCCAGAGCCTTCCAAGCTGTCACAGGACACATGTCCAGCTGGGGATAAACCAGATTCCAAGCCCCTGCCACAAGTGTCTCGGCAGAAGTCAGATCCCAAGCTTGCGTCTCAGCCTGGGCCTAGACCAGATGCTAAAGCTCAAAAGCCTGTCGAGCTCACACAAATGAAAGAAGACCCGAAGAAGTTACAAACCAAGCCGGCCCCAAGGCCTGATCCCAAAGCTGCTCCCAAGGGCCCACAGGCAGGGGCAGGGGCCAGCCCCAGCTCTGCTGGCACCTCAGCCCCAGCCTTCTCAGAAAACTCCCGAGCAACCAAGGCGCTTCAGCCTGAATCTGGGAGGCATCACGGATGCCCCTAAGCCTCAGCCCACAACACCACAGGAAACGGTTACTGGGAAACTCTTTGGATTCGGAGCGTCAATCTTCAGCCAGGCCTCCAGTTTAATTTCTACCGCGGGTCAGCCGGGGTCTCAGGCACCGGCCGCCCCATCAGCCAGCCCCCAGAGAGGCTGGCCAGGCTCAGGCTCCTCCAAAAGCTGTACCTGTAAAGAAAGAAGCCAAGCCTCTTATGACTGAAAAATCGGAGCCATCCAAAGTGGAGAGTGTTTTAACGACTAAAGGATCTGATGTAGAAAAGAAACCTGGTTTGGTGAAAGACAGCAAGCCTCAGGCTGCTGAAGCTAAGAAACCTGCTGGGCTGTCAGAACCAGAGAGAGCCAGCCAGCCAAAAGTGTCTTGTCCCCTTTGTAAAACTGGACTAAATGTTGGTTCTAAGGATCCCCCCAACTTTAATACGTGTACAGAGTGCAAGAAGGTTGTGTGCAATCTCTGTGGATTTAACCCAATGCCGCACATAGCTGAGGTAAGGCAGTGGAGTGTGGAGACCTGTCTGCAGCTGATGTTTACCTGTTGAGTTGTCGAGAAAAATTTCAATGTTTCATCATCTGATGATGGCTTTTAAAATTAAATGTCTGTGTTGCATGAAACCTGGTCAGTAGTCAGAAAGTACTTGCAATGAATTTTCTGTAGTTTAAGAGAGTCTGATATAGCTGGTTGCTAGGGTTTTGAGGCATAAGCTTGGTCAAGAACCCTTTTGAAATTGGTGCTACTGTGATAGAGCAAACTACCGTACATTCAGTCTATCATGGGATTAAGTTCTTTCTCATATGCTTCAGCATTGTATGTTAACATGTGTGCTTTTTTAATCAATGCCCCTGATTCAGACAATTATTGAATGAAGGAATGTGTCAATGCTTAGTTATTCCCCTTCCCCCCCTGTTTAATATATCCCTAAATTTATTTCGTTAATCGCATTCTGGCTCTGGAGTCTTTGCATGTGCTGGTGTACTCATTAGGAAGGTTGAAGTTTAAGTGATACCTCTGTGGTGAAATATGTAATTTTTTGGAGTGAAGAATGTAAAGCTTATGAAGTCACTTCATTCCTTAAGGAGCGTTAGTTTGAAAGTGCCTTGTCCATGATGGCCCAAGACAGATTCAGTAGGGCCAGCTTATGTTTAGAAGAATTAAGCAATTTACTTTCAACAGTGTCCTCACACTCCACGTTTTTACCCTCCTTCCTTGCTTTCTTGTAATTTTTTGGCAAGGGGATTGGAAACTTCATGCTCGCTTAAGGAGGCATGCCTGGCTTGCCCTATCAATTTGGCAAATTCAACTCAATAGAAGCAGACCACCTAACAATACTTGTCAGTAATTTAACTGTGTAAATTGGTCTGTGCAGCACATGAAGAAAGTAGCTGTCAGTGTTGTGGCTTTGAAATCTGAATTAACAAATTAGAAATGGCTCCCAGGGTTAAAGGTTATCATGTCTGCCTTAAGGCAAGAACAACTGTTGGAAGAAATAGTAAGTTGCAGGGCAAATACAGCTTATGTTGACTGTGTATGCTTTTTTTGTGGATTATTATCTGGAATATAGTATCATTTGAAAGGCAGTTGTCCTACTGTAATAAGCACATTTTATCTGATTTATGAGTATGATGTCTACTGTCTTTGTGGTCATTTAGGCCAGAAAGAAAGGTCCGAAAATGCGGGAAGATTGATCAGTGATTGAAAGCCAGGTTTCAATTGACTTTTAGAGTTGCTTGTGCACTGAATTCCATCAAACATGCATTCCTTCGTCACTGTTCAACCCCCTGCCCCATACACACACACAAACAGACATGTGTATGCATACACACACACATACACAGACACTTATTTAGGTTTTAAATGTGAAAAATGCCTATGGCTTTCTCCAGAGGCACTCTGGTATGCATACACAGAATACCACAGAAGCAAGATGTGTCAGCTTTGGTGAAACACTGTGGTGAAATGACAGCTACGCGACTCATGGTGCATGGATTGACTCCTTCAGAGCTGACTTAAGTGGGACGATGTGGGACTGCATTGTGGTGTGCAGAAATCTATATTCCCTATATTTCTTCTGTTTTAAGATGAGAAGGCTGTTACTCTGTTTCTTTTTTCCTATCACTGTTATTGTCAGCATATTGTCTCCATTTCCACTCTTTGGAATATGCAGACCTTGAAATACTATTAATTTTCTGTAGTCTGACTTCCTCATAACTTTCTTTGCCCCATTTTTTGGCTCCTTCTTGCATTTTCTTCTTCTTTATACTACACATTTCCACCTCTGTCCACAGTTTTCCATTTTAACTTCTTTTTTCCAATCATTTTTGCTAAAAATTGGCGAACTGCTTTTCCTTGACAATAGGAGTTAGTTTGCTTGGCTGAGGACAGCCCGACGTTCCTATTCATGAAGATGGGAGACAGAAGAGGGAGCTCATCCTCTCCTCTCCCAAATGAGCTGTGTAAATAATGTATTTAATCTCAGATAGCAGTTCTGTCCCTGTATACACTGTATGTAGTATACACCTGTTTACATCACAGAAACATGATGGTGAGCAAATAATTTATGCTCATTAGCATAAATACATACTCTTTTCATCCACCAAACTTTTCTAACATGTTGAGTAGAGTCTTGGAGGTTTTATTTACTTGTCTCTGTATTTTTTGCGGGGTTGTGAAGGAGAAATAGAAATGCTTTTTAAAATTGGTCTTTATGGTGGTTTTCTACCCTATTCATTTATTCTTATATTCTACATTCAAAGAAAAAATTGTAATTCCAGAAGGCTATATTCCCTCTTGGCCCCAGGAAATGTTTTGGATGAACAAACATTAATGGGCATTTTACAGTTTTACTTTGGGGCTGCAGCTGTGTCACGGTGATTCCAACAGTCGCTTATGTATTATCTATGTATTGTTGCCTCATTAATGGCTGAAAATGAGTTGAGTTTTGTTGACTGAGTGATGGCTGAAACCTTGTTGCCACAAAACTTGTATTGGTCTATACGGGAAGAATCAGTCCCACGGAGCAGGGAAAACAGTATTTCATTGACAAATACAGAGGAGCGTCTAAACTCTGTGGGCACTTCTACCTCAAGATGTTTCAGCAGGGAATGTCTTCAGGCACCGTGCTGCTGTACTGCAGACATGGCTGAGAGGGAAGAAGGTGCTTGCTCACAGTGACTGTTGTTTGTTCTTGCCTGTATGTGACAGAAATAACTTTCAAAAAAGTCTTTAAGATGCTGAAGACAGTTGGTCCTCTAGTAACCCCTCTTCTGCAGGAAATGAGAGAACTAGACTTTCACCTAGTCTAAATTAACAATATGTTATTTATTTCAGTGAAATTATTCTGATTTGTGCAAGCTGAGAATTAGGCTAGAATACTTTTTATGGAAATGGGCTGATTGTTCTTTTTCTCCCTGATTTGTTTATCCAACAGTCAAACAGTTATTTGCTTAAATAATAATTTATCCATGAAGCAAACAGCCACGGATGATTAACTAAATGACAGTTGATAGGTTTCAAAGACCCACAGGCTCATGTGTGCCCTAGTGCATTAGCAGACTCCTTATTCTGCCATTTGCTCAATAGGGAGGAGCACTGTTTACCAGCTCTGTAATTAGCTTTCCAGCTCAGGTAGTTGGAAGCAGCTCTATTTTTAGTAAGAAAGCACAAGATCGCAACTGCAGAAGCCAGAAATGAAGTGTGTGGCAACGACCATTTTGTGCATTTAAAACTCGGTGAAGCTGTTCAGAATACTGAACAGGAGCAGAAATGGTTGCCTGTAATGTAATTAAGTATGTTGAGGCAGCAGGGTCAGGAATATAGAACCTGTGATGACTTAATATAATAGTAAAATGAAACATTTAAAAACTAAGCTAAGGAAAACTAAGATGTCCAAATCTGTAGAATCAGTATGGACAACAAGAAAGAACAACGTCTTAATAGAGTCAAATGTTATGAACAGAAAGAGCTCAAAATGTAAGGTGTGTGTATATGTGAGTGCACTAATGGATTTAATTTAATAGAACTGCCAAGGGAGCAACAGAAGCACTTTTTAGTCTATTACTAGCTATAAAATTATCTGGAAAGGTACTTGGAAGTAAAAAATGTTCCACATGTAAAATACATTAGTGGGGCTACTGAAAGGAGGGAATTGTTCTGAATGAAGGAGAAGGAGAGGGAAGACAAGGGGAAGGGTAGGAAAGATATCATAACCCAGACTTCAGGAATTCTGTTTTGAAAGAGATGTAATCTGTCAGACTTGATCAGAATAGAGAATATAAATAATTTCACATGAAGAGGGATGTTTCATGATAAATATATTACGAAGAATGTTGTCTGTATGAAGTTGTTTGACATGGGTGGATATTATAGCAGGAATCTATAAGCAGGATTCTATAAACAACGACCTTGATGGCTCCTGTCCAATCTGTATTCTTATAGCGTAGATTTTTTTTTTTTAAACAGATGTATAACCCACCAAAAAAATTTAGATGCTTTTCTGATAGCTTCTTCTCCACTGATGCTTACTAGACCAAACTAAAGAAATATTTTCTTTTCTTCTCCTCTCATACTATGGAGAGAGGGAAAGCAAAAAGATAAACTCCTTTTCTAAGTAAGCACAGTGCTATCATTAAACTCAGTAATATAACCAGGTTAAAAATGGTACATTGCTCTTCCAGTAAGATCTTTTAGAAGTCACAGTAAATAGTTAGCATTTTGGAACTGATACAAGCCTCTCTGGAGGTGAGGTGAGGGGAGCTCTCTTGTCGTGGCAAGTTGTTGTATACCTGAATACATCTTGGATTCTTTTACCTCCTCCTAAAATCCTGCAGAAAGGGCACTGGCACAGGTGGGCACCTGATGTAAATAATTCTGGCAGTTTCTATTTTTCCAAACTTTCACTGATACCTAATTGCAAATGGAATGAGGCCCTCAGCAGATGTGACCCATTAGTTAGACTTTAACATTAGGCTTTAAAAAAATAATTTAAAAAAGAAAAAATCCAAACCTATCCGAAGTGAAATGAACTCTGCTGGTAAATGCCTGAATGTGGTTTGGACTTCTTAAAGCAAGTATGCAATAACATGTGATGAGCCACCTACAATTTTAATGAAAATCCCCCAAATGGTTTCCTGCATCATCTGAGGTGCCACCCCTTGCCTCTTTTGAGTTTGTTAACAACTCTGTACTATCATGTTTTTCCTGTTTGAGAAAGCTCAGACCATTCTGCAAGTTGGCAGGTTTAACTTGTATTAGAAGTTCCTATCTCGTCTTTTATGTTTGATGATAGTTGTTCTGGAAACAGATGGTGTCTGGGAAACACAGTGAAGAAGAATTTGCACTTAAGACACAAAGAGAAAAACAACCACTCCTTACAGATGCATAATTTATCTTCTCTACCTCTTCCCTCTCCCTTCATATTTAAAGCTCCTTTTAAAATTTTGATTGTAAGAAAGTGAATGCTGTTATTGTTTAATAGCAGTAGCCAAATAATAC